TACTTTATAATTGGCTTTGTAAGGTCGTTTCATATTATCTGGAATCTTGTCCAAGGTAACGTTAAATAAATAACAGGAAAAATTCCTAGTATGGTTTTGAGTGCAAATCGTTTTACATTCACTCATCTCGTTGCACTTTTCAATACATTGGTCTTCTTTTCCATCCAACGACACGAAGATGATTGGTGTTTTGTAACGAAGACATGTTCCAAGCCAAGTGGTAGAAGTGGAACATTTGGTATCGTTAGCACAGTTTTCATCACATTTCGCTGAATCAGACACAGTTCTTTCTGCGTAGGCACGGGGCGTCAAAGATTTTACATTTGAATACTTGTATCGACAATCTGAAAAATAAAATGAATGGAGTTTTACGTCCAACTTTTCTGCACCATGTGGGATAATGATTAAAGACGGGCAACGCCATGCAGTGTGCAATGAGGGAAATTTTTTACCAGGACAGCGGGTTTCCTACTCTTGTTCGATTTCCAACTGTCGAGAATCTTTAACGTGTACAGCCTGAAGCACATGGGGCCTCAGTTTATTGTCCCATCTGAAAAACTAGCCGAGCGAGGAGAGATTGGTAAATTTCTTTTTTTTTTTAATTTGTACTTACTGCAATCGTCACCGAATGTGTTTAGTGGACAGTTACATTTAAATTTTCCATTTTCTTCCACCAACGTTCCACCATTTTTACAATCCGGAATAATCACTAACAATGATACAAATGGCGATAAACTCAAAAACTATTTTAATGATGGTGAGAACATACACGGTGGTTTAAAGATGGGTTGCCTTATTTTCATTTATGAAAATGAAAATGCTAAAACTTATATGACTAGAAAGTAAAGGTTTGTCTCACATGTCCATAATTAATTCATAATTAGCTAAATTAGAAGAGAATTACCAGCAGATTCCAATGAGTGGCCGATCGAGAAAGGTCAAAAAGTATCTTTTGTTTTTCCAGACTATCGTACATGGATACTTATGATTGGTTGAAATTCTTAATTATATGCAATAAGAACATAATAATATGATTAAGAATACATGATAATTCATTAGAAACACTAATTAATCAAATAGTTTGCTTAATTTGACACTAAAATATAAGGAAACCCATCTTTAACTATTTTTACGAATTTTTAGTCAATGGTGGTAAATCGAAACTGTTCATCGAAAAAGTGTCAAATAAGAACTTGTCCAAGATCTCATCAATATATATGATCACACGAAAATTCATTTAAATCAGATGAAAGATGAAAACTGTACTTCTTTTGCGCTCAGAAACAAATTTTGCCATAGTACAATCGATTGTACTTTCCATTGACACCAAAATCAATCAAATTGGGTAAATAGAATATTTGTCTCTATGTACATTAGGTTACATGACAATTTTTAAATGGCAATAGCTTAGTGACTTATTATCGTTCAACAAAAATGAAGATAAAATTAACAAAAGTCAAGGTCATAAGACACAAGCCACAAAAATCAATCAAATTGGGTAATCTGTTAAATATTTATTTTGATTGAAGAAATGAGCGCACTACAATAATATTCTTTAATCTTAAGATGTTAAGCTCTCCAGACTGTTTCATGAAGTTTATTGATTTGAATTCC